TACTGGTTGATGGTTGATTAAGTCATAAAACGCTGCGTTTATAATAAATGCACGTCCAATTGAACTGCGCGGAAACTTCTTACGGAGAACTGAACCGAACGTAATTACTGATGCCTGCAGTCTGCAATACTTACACCATCCCGCGGCGATACCTATGTTTTACCAACAATATTCATTATTTTCCTAGAAACAGCTTACCTACGTTGAAACCGCTTTTGTAGTTCGTGGTCTTGAACTTTTGAAATACATAGATATTGATTGATTTCTTAGAATTTTTTGTTTGTTGTGTATGTTTATTTAGTAGGTACCTATTAAAATATTTAAAAGGCTAAAGGCTAATATTATAGATTCGACTTTGAGCATTTCATAGCAAGATGTCAGACATTGATGTTACAAGTTGTATCAAGATATTACACATTGTATCATTACAAGGTGCGCATTGAAATGCTCGGTTCTCCTTCTTCACTGATGTAATGCTCAGATATGTAACGTTACATTACACCCGAATGCTCCCTGTGTGGGAGCACCTTTAAGCTATTTCAGTGGTCCCTCATGTCTCCATCTTATTATTCTTTCTCGACAAGTCCGAAACATTGTAGGTAACATCTTTAGTTTACATTGTATTCTTGTGATTGCGACCAAAATGTATTCATTATGTTTCATTTTATGATTAGCATTAAAAGTTGCACAAACATCACCTTTAATTTCATCATCTATGTAGAATCAATAACAAAAACGTTCGCAAATATCTTCAATTAAGGTAATTCCGTATCATCCGCAACAAACGATTACAACGAAGTAGTGATATTTTGCAAGCAAGTTACATTGTTAAATAATATAATTGGACATTGGACACACTTCACGCTAACAAATACGACGGCATGAGCAGATCTAATTGTTCATGATCGCAGTACTAATGAAGAATTGTTTATTTATAAGCTTTTTGCGGAATTACTTTATCAAAACTTCATTTTAATTATCACTAAACGTAATTATGTAGTAAAATAATAATTGAAAATAATAATAATAAAAAAAATAATAATAATAAAAATGTTTATTTCAGAAAGTTTTTACAATTTTGTTGTATCCTGGACCTCACACTAGGATTCCCTGTGTCGTGGGGTCCAGGCTCCCTAACAAACAGTACATAAAGAAAAGTTATCATAACGCTTAAATATACCTAAATGTGTATTTTGTGTGTGTGTATGAATATGTGTGGATGTAAGTGAGTAAGTAAGTAAATGTGTGTGTTGTGCGTGTGTGTGTGTGTGCGTATGCGTATCTGTTTTATGTAGTGCGTGTGTATGAGTGCGTATGTGCGTGTGTGCATCTGTTGTATGTAGTGCGTGTGTATGTGAGTGTGTGTGTACGTATCCATGTTTGGAAATGTGAATATGTCACATAAGTGAGTACCAATTACCTTTTTTTTTCTTTTTTATGATTATTGTTACTAACTTAAGAGGTTTTCAATCATGTTGTAATCCATGGTGAGAAGCCACCTTATAACCGTGTTTTTACATACATTATGGGTGAGTTGTAGAATTTTGAGTTGGTTATTAAGTTTGGAGTAAATGTGTGGTCCCATATAGCCGTGCGACCTTCTCTCGACTGTTTTACGACAGCGGCTCTTTTCCCATCGTACCCTACGACCAGACTGGATACAAGTGCTAATAGCGGTTTTATGAAATCTTAGAGTAGTTGACAGTATGTACAGTGATCTAACTCTGAGAATCCCGGTTTCAGTGTAAAGTGAATCAGTGGGGTATCGGAAAGGCCTTCCATAAGCAACTTTGAGCAGGGCGCGTTGAGCCCTTTCGACTTTCAGCAACGAAGTTTTACCAGCCGCACCCCACACTGTTATACAGTAACCGAGAATGGATTGACAGAGTGAATAATAAATCATTTTCAAAACAGTATTGTCCGCAATTTTGCTAAGTTGCTTAAATATACGAATTAGTTTTCGGACCCTACCACTTAAAGTATTCACATAAATGAGCCAGGATAGTCGGTTATCCAAAAATACCCCCAAATATTTGATCGAATCTGTTTGTTCGATGTATGGGCAAGTACAATTTCCTGGACTTGTGCAAGAGTGTAATTGTATACTGCTGTATCGGTTAGGAGCCGAACGCTTTGAGATTGCAAAATTAATTGCTTTAGTTTTAGCCACGTTTAGTGTTAAGAGATTATGTTGAAGCCAGCTCGCAATAGCTCTAACCCCAGTCCCCACTGAACACCTGACATCTTCCCAAGACTTCCCACAAAAAATAATAGCAGTATCGTCCGCATACGTAAATATTCTTGCTTGAGGGATATTCAAGGAGCATAATCCATTTATGTAAATGATAAATAGAGTAGGCCCCAGAACACTACCCTGGGGCACACCGAATTGAACTGAATTTAGTTCGCTAGAAAAATCCCCCAGAACCACTCGCTGCGTTCTGTTATTGAGATAAGATGCAAACCAGTCTAGAGCAACACCACGAATCCCCAGTAGCGACATTTTCTTAATTAAGATTTTTCTAGATATGGTGTCAAACGCCTTGGCGAGGTCCAGAAAGACGCCAGTACATGCCTGTCCTTTACCTAGATTGAGGCTGATATAGTCGACTAAGTTTGTTACTGCATCCTCCGTGGACCTCCCCGTGCGAAAACCGTATTGATTGTCTGACAGTAATTTATTTTGCTCTAGGAATCCAAGGAGTCTTTTGTTTACAACCTTCTCTAGAATTTTCGAAAGAGCTGTAAGAAGGGAAATTGGACGATAATTTGAAGGAATCTTCGAGTCCCCGCCCTTAAATATCGGACATATATTTGCAATCTTTATGCAGTCAGGCACGGTCCCTGTACTTAGGCTTAAATTGCATAAAAAGGTTATCGGCTTAACCAAAACATGTGAGCACTGTTTTAAAAATGTGTTATGTATGCCATCGTAACCTGGTGCTGATGTTGATTTGAGGTGGGTTATAATTGAGGATATTTCTTTTTCATCAGTTGGAGTAAAGAAAAATGAGCCAGGGCTATGGTTAACCGTACAATATTGCTCATTACTACGGGCTAAGTCATCCTCCGTTGAACCTAATAGATTAAGTGTTTCTGCAGCAAGGTTTTTACCAACAGTTGCAAAATAAGTGTTCACTGAATTTAATATGGGAACAGGATTGTCACTGTTAGAGACAAGCTCGGTATGTTCATTCTTATTTTTCTTAATGTTACAGATAGTCTTGATCTCGCTCCATAGTTTTTTACAGTTGCCCTTATTTTTTATTAGGAGTGAACGGTAATAATCCCTTTTAATATTAGAGAGTGTATTGTTACAATAATTTCGATATTTCCTATATTCCTCCTGAATAACGAGATTGTCGCGATTTTGTTGTTTCTTAGCGTTTGTGTGCAAAAAGTCACGTCGTCTTATACATCTCAGAAGGCCATTAGTTATCCAAGGTTTAGTAATTACCTCCGAGGAACGCAAACTGTGGTATATAGTGTGTTGTTTAAGTTTTGCCGATAGGGTTTCGGTAAATTTTTTGAATGCACTATCTACATCTACCTGTTCAAAAAGCCAGTCCCAAGTTTCCCTTTCCATATTCGTACCTAGTTGCACATAGTCGATTCGAGCGCGACGTTTTATGCTTTTAACTTTAGGTGATTCTTTTTGGATGCATAGGATAACTGTTTCGTGATCGGTTATACCCGTCTCACATATAGTAACAGTTGCTAACTTCTGGGTTTTAATCATAACATGATCTAGGCAATTGTCACCTCGTGTAGGCAAAGTGTGTCCCGGAAAATATCCGTAGTGGCTGGTCAAATCAAGATACTCTGTGGCGCGTTTGTCAGTGTAATCTGGCTTAATGTCAATGTTCAAATCTCCCACAATAGCACATGTGGTAGCCTTGCATGACTCCATCAGCTTAGTCAAAGATTCACAAAATTTGTCTATGTTATAAAACGATGGGGATCTGTAAATGGTAATTAGTGATAGTTCATCCCTTATATTGACAATCAGGCAATTTGACTCCTCGAACGATGGTTCCACAACAGAGGCCTGTAAAGATATCTTCGTATATATAACTATTCCGTCATTTTGATTTAGATAGTTTTTTGAACAGTGACATTTGTAATTGTTTATTTCAGAACAAGTAATCGTGTCGTCAAGCCAACATTCCGTTAAAACAATAATATCAGGCAAGAAAAACAGTCGACTCAAAAAAACAGTAAAATTATCAAAATTCTTTCTGACACTACGTATATTTTGAACAATTATTGAGTATTGCCCCTCCATATCACCCACAAAATGTAGCCCGAAGTCATCTATTGACTCCAGTTTTAGAGTTGTTGTAAATGCCGTATGATCAATCTCGTCAATTACTTGAGCAGTATTAATGAATGTTACTTACTGATTTTCTTACGACTGGTCGTAGTTAGTAGGTAGTAGCTTGGCAATTAGTTCGAACTTTAGTATAACGATACTAATAAAATGTCTAGAAAAAACATCAACTTTGCAAATTAGAAATCGAATTGAGATTATTGACAATAAAATACTCTAAATATATGTTATAAGCTAAACCTAGAGCTCGTTACAATACTCTATGGACAGCACTAGCACCTTACCCTCGCCTCGGGTCCATTCAAGTGTATGTTGTGTTGTCGGCGCACGCGCAGTTTTTGCGGCGTCTGGTTACGCGCTACATCAGTTTACAATTTGTCACCAATCACAAGACACCGTCGACACAGCCGGCCTACCTGTCACACACATTTACATTCCTTTATGGGCACACGCCGCCAACACATATATTACACATGTGGAATATGTAGATCTGTACGCAGTTTGTATGAATTCAGACTACTTGTTCCTGGTGATTAATATGGAAGAGATTTTTTATGGTTATTGGTCGTAATGAATACCTATTTAGAAGAAAATGTACAGTTTTACTTTGTGGTTTTAAGCGCGGACTCATGTCGAATTTGTTTAAAAGATTATATGTTCTTGTTCCCAGATCACATGAGCACAACAGCTGGGCACCATGTCCGCGGTGATGAGCACGCTGTCCATGATCAGCGGTACTCGCCGCGCGCACCGCAAGCTCGCCTGCAGGTAACGTCAAATAATATCATGCCATAGCCACAGGACATCCGCTACTGAATTTAGGCTCATTTTAATGACTTTCAAATAAGCCTATTGTAATCGACCTACTAAGAGAATTCTGAAACCAAAACCTTACAGCGGTTTTTATTGTTACTTTATGAACTGAGAATGAAATCGATACAAAATTATAATTGCAAAATAATATTATTCACGTTCCCTTCTTTAAACCTCACATGAAAGCTCAGAGTCGAGTTATCCGCTGACATGGGTGGCGGGTGGCGGACCGTCGCGGAATGCAGAGTATCGAGCAATTCAATTACCATACCCGAACGGGCATCGTCCACGGCGCAGCTCGCTGCGTGGGCGCAGGGCATAGGCTCATTATGAGTCCGCTAATATACTGGAATATTTGTATCGTTATTATATCACTGCAATTCACACCGCGGCGTTTATTTAATGTCGCCGAAAAAGGACAATTACTGATAAATATCTTGTTTCGAATGGATAACGAAAAAAAGGAAACTTTGCTACGGTACCCAAATTTTTTGGAGAATTTTATTAAATATCACATGTTTGTACCTACTTCGTAACATATAACTAACCATGGCATACTAGATTAATCTGAAGATAAATAAATCAAAAACGTGTGCAATAAAGCAAAGCAAATTAAGTAGGATGATTTAGATTGCCATTGCTACACCTCCGATGTTGGTTACGAGTGTGTGTGTGTAATACTTGCAATGGAACACATAATTAAAGCTTTAATGACTTGCATCACACGTGTATCGATTTAAATCAATCAAGTGATAATTAAACTCGGTGTAACCGAGTTATAAATCAAAGTATTTACATCAAACGTCAGTTGTAGAGTCCATTTCACGAAAGAAGTCCCGCAGACGCAGCGCTGTATTCGCGCGACATAATGTTGCCACGGTTAAATTTATATAGTATGGGGAAATCAGGAGAAATTGACATTAGTTTGATTAACTACGTACTCGAACAGTTCGAGGAATATTTTTAAAATAATGTCTTTTTATATAGGTATTTATGTTTATACTGCTAAGGTCAAATTAGTGAAAAATTAATCTTCCTGTAATTTCTAAAATATAAAATGGAAATAAAGATGTTCAACCAACATCAAATTAGAAACATAAAATAACATTTAAAAAGTTTTATTAAAGTTTTATTGAATAATTATGATCGGTCATACTATGAGTGATACAGAAGAAGAAGGAGTCATACAGAAGAGTGAATAGAAACAGAATTAGATTCTGTTTCATTATCACTAGCCGTAGATATAATAAATCGATGCATTTCTTCATCCATAAGACCATCATTTTTTAAAAATATTCTTCCTCCAAATGCTGTACATGTTTGCATTGAACTGCCCAATCTTCCGCTGTAACAGTCTCGAACGCCTCTTCTGTTAGGCGTACAATTTCTTTTGGATCTTGGCCCACGTTTTTAACCGCTACCCGTCTGTTTATAACACACGACTCTCCGACACACCTGCAATAAAATGAACAATTAAAAAAAATCTAACAGTGACTTTTTCCGCATTTAATTATATTATTGTTGAATACAATTTTACAAATTTTTGTTGTGTTATGTTAATTCCTCATTAAAAAAACTTAAGTCTAATTGGTAAAAAATATGTTTAATATGGCAGCCCCAAAATTTACCTGTTATGGCGGCAACTCTTTTGCGAACATTGTCTAATGGTATTAAAACGCCGCGATTCTTCTGTTCCGCTTCACAGAACTCTTTCAATTTTAATATCATTTCTCGACCTGCACTTTTTACAACTTTTGGCATCGTAAATAAACCTTATAATGCACTAATTTAATAATAAACTCACAAAATATCTACCACAACAAACCCACCTTGACAACATCGACAAACGACAACATGGCCGAACTCCCCATTTGTCAAATTTAGTTCCACAATTGTCCGCGGGACTTCTTTCGTGAAATGGACTCTAAACTCATCAGGATGTTTGTAATGTTAGATTAATATGTTACCCGTGTAATTACAACTAAATTAAAATGTTATTCTTGTAATTGCAACTAAATTACAGGACTTTATTAAGCGATTATTAAATGAAATCCATACTGTTGTTACAGTTTTTTAGGTAAGTGAGTAGTTTAAAAATATAACAAAACGTGTCAATAGAGTCAATGTCAAGTGGGAAATTAAAACACTAACGTTTCCCAGGGTCTATGATACCCACGTTATCTATAAAACTTCAATAAAAATTGTATTGTTATGTTAATAAAACATAGGATTTTCTCAGAATCGTAAATGTATACAGCTGACAAGATCTCGGTTGAACCTAGTTCACCTTTTTATTTGTCACTTTAATCAAGTACGTTATATGACATGACAATACAATAATAACATAGTAAATTACATGACAATAGTGTGTTTACTGTTAGGACAATCTAATTCATTACTTATTTGACCTTAGTTCGCATAATTATGATTAAAACAATGATATAATTATTTCACATCATAAATATAAATTACAAGTAAATAATATAATATATAAGAATTGTGTAATAATTTAACCACCGAGTTTTATGTTGAGAACGTGATGTAACAAAACAAGTATTAATTTGTTCGTTATATTCAATATAAATATAAAAAGTTAACTATGTTAATTAATGTATTGCTATCAGGAGTTGGCGTGTCCCTAGATAATTTACTAATGAATACGTTTCTTTGCTTGCAGTCGCAAGTCCGGTCAGTTCTCTGATGCGGGGGAGGAGCGCTCGCGCAGTCAGCATGACCTCCACAAGCAACAGCGGTCGGCGTCACTGGTCAGTAACACACACATTCAGTAGTTAATTTAATTGACGTGTTTTGTTTCTATAAAATAGAATAGAAACTTTTCTCTTACTAAGTCTAAGGATCGTGAACAAGGACTAGGGTTCATGACCTCATTGGGAAACAGTGATATTTTTAGACTAATTCGGAAATAAATATCAACCTATGTTCAATTAGATCAGTCTTCATGTGATTTCTGAAATTTCAAAACCATACCCTCTTGTGAACAATGTGTATTGTGATGATAAATATTTATGTTAAATATAGCTGTAGTCAAAAGTAACTTATTGAATTAATGAGAGAATTACTAGGAGCTTTCTATTCCTACGAAGCTAACCATTGATAAATGAGACTCTGTTTACGATCCCTGTAATTTGTGTTTGAACCTAGGATCTATGCCGTTACACTAATGAACACGGTGTCACAATACAGTGGAGACAGAAAACCTAGTTTAAAGCAAATCAATAAGTACTTCCATGATAGTTAATATAGTAATTATTATATATAATTTAAGTGTGGGAATGGGCCGGTTCGACTGGAGTGATGCCACGGCCGAGCAGAAAACCGACGTGAAGCAACGCTTGCTTGCGTTGTTTCGTCGTGTCGTCGTCGTCTTAAGAACCCGCTACGAAATTATCATTGTAAAATTCTAAACAGAACAGAGCCTAAGTAATTAGTTCTACACAAGCTGAGAATAAGTAAACAATATTATTATAATTTATAGCGAGAGCTTTTCATTGTTTCCCTGCACAGTATTGTAAGTTCGTTATGTACTCTTAAGAATGGACTTTTTATACAGACAGTTATATTGTGTTCTATTGTAGTTGTCGTGCGTAGGCGCACGGTGGTCGCTGGAGGCGCATGCGCTCCTCGATCGCATCGACATAATTGACGGCTCGGACCTGAACCTGTATACCGCAGGCTTTGTGCTTACACCACTGCGCTTTGATTGTATAAATGAGGGCATTGTAATGATGATAAACTGGTCTAAAACAGGAAATACTCTGATGGAGCTGATGTTTATAAATAGGGAGTTAAAGCCTTTTACATTTTTCCCTCGTTTTATTTATTTAAATAATTATGGAGAGTTGGATAAAACCAAAAAACTAGCATCAAAAGCGATTAAAGTATTATTTTTCAAAACCTCTAGACAAGCTTTGAAATGCAAAAAGTTTTAGTTGACATCGTTTTAATTTTGCTGCTACAATTTCCATTCACCTAAAGCAAGACAAGAAATCAATAGATTATTTTCGAACACAAACCGAGATGGAACATCACTCCTATTATAAAATCGACCAATGCACTAGTGGTGTCCATCGGCTTCATTCATCACATGAAAGTGGACTAACAACTTCCCCTGTGTATTATGATTACGAGCAGTTACTAAACACCATCACTATTGCCGGCGTGCTCCGACGCATAATCCGATCGTAAGGGACAAAGACAAAGCATTTTGTAACACCGACACATTCAAATGATGTGGTAATCCTTTAAGTAATGGAACCATTTATTATATGGCAATAACTTAACGAACAACTCTTTAATATTCTTGTAAATCGTTGTTTTTACTTACGCATAAGTCATAACGTCTTTGTGAGAGGCTCTGTGTCTGTGGGTACATTGTTTTCACAAATAATTGTGATAATTTAGTTGCAGCACAAACCTGCTTTGTTGCTCTTACGAATCTAGTTAATCATGTTTTCAACTATATTTAGTCGGATTAAGAATTTAGTCGATGGATTTCGTATATTTATATCCTCATAGATTAAACTGTCAAACACCAAGCGGTCACCGGTGAGCGCAACCTATTGTTCTATAATTGTGTCTATAATGACGGTACTCGACGAGTTAAGGTGATTAGTGACTTATAAGAAACCACAATACTGAAGGTTGAAGTGTCAATAACTTAACATCTATTAAACCTTGCATTGACATTGAATGAACTACAATATACAGCCACTAGGTATTCGTCTCCACAACTACAGTGTCAGTGGCTGTCGACAACTGTATCAGTGCACACAACACACAAAAGCAACATATACATACATACATATCATAAGTAGGCAAGTGTACGTATGTACGTATATGAATGATAACAATGACAACTCGCCAACACGCGTCATGTGTGTGCGATGACACGGCAACTTGCGTATGCGCATCATTGTTTACACTTTCGTTACTTTTACTTTCAACTGATTATATATTTTTTTATACGCACTATAGTTTATAAGTGACATTAGTCACATAATAGGAATATCAGAGATTTACAAAATAGTACCAATCATACGAACTCGCCAAACCAACGCAAAAATAATTAAAAGCTACGAAGAATATATTCAAAGATGAGATAAAAGATAAATCTGCATACTCACTTTTTATCAGAACATTCCAAGGAAATAAGTAAATAGTAAATTAATAACTTACAAGGACAGAAACTAATTCAAGTTAGGTACTAAATAAAATTTTCCAATTATAATTTGCTCCAGTAAGAATGCCTGAAGCATGACATTACTTACATTCGAAATAAATAAATTAATAGTGATTAGGTGTGAAGGTTTGCAGCGGAACCCCTCGGGCCATCTCACACGACAAGTTATTAATGAGTAATGCAATATTGTGCAGAGTGCAGTAATTAATCTTCTATGTAACACTTATGAAATTGTGGTTTGGAATTAACATTAAGTTAGTTTAATATTACTATGAAAATGTTTTGCTTGTACTCAATTAAATTAATTAAAAGGCAAAATCAGGTATACCAAATAAAAAACACGCTATACAGAAGAAATACTAAACTTTTGTAGCTTATGTACTTTTTTACCAGTTATATTAGAGACTTATTAGGGAACGACACTTCAAGGAATTACGGTTACATTCTGTCTCGTACTCCACTCAGATTCCGAAGCTAAGATTTCACATTGATTTCAAGAGTTGGATAATAATTTACTGTAGGAGCATAAATCTTGCCTTTTAAAATCCTCACTACCCCGACTACCCGGGTACCATCAGCTAGGCTGTTAGGTAATAAAACTTTAAGATTTGTAGTTCAGTACTGCGAGTGCTGATTATAACTATCGGCCTCGAGACAGCTGTAACAGCTTAACATCTAATAGCTTGTTCACACCGTGTAATCATGGAGCGATCGCGGGCTGGTGGTGATTCACACATACAGGGCTATCAATACTCTAGAGATCCTTGTGCATTACAAGCACTAACAATAGCATAAGCTTATCATTATGTTTGCAATTGGATTGGTTCCACTTTATTTGGCATCAAATTTAACTAGATGACTCCTGTTAATCAGGATCTGCAGTCGTATTTCTGACCAAACTGTCTTGACCTCCACAGCAAAATTAATCAGAGGATAGAGGTGTTCCGGGTGGGGCAAAATATCAAATATGGATATTGATTTCTTAATTACTTAGGATTTGACTTCGTGATTCACTGTCATATATGCGATCTAAACAAAGCATAACTACTAACAAGGCAACACATACAACAATAGAACATATGAATTAATTATTTATTACACCAATGAATATTGAACAACCCTAGCAGAGATGTTCTAGTCATAATGCTGGGCGCTTGTAGCACCCACTGCACCCACACTAGCGCCGCTGCCGACCCGCTGTTGTAATCGTGTCAAGATCATACATCATGTCATTACTATGATTAATTGTTGTGAACATGACTCCGCCGGGCTGAGAATATAGAAACATGAGTCTCCCACCCTCCAACTCTATTCATATTTTATCTTAAGATAGATGATATCATCATTTCCACGGAATGAAAGTAAGTGACATCCGTGAAAATTGTTTACCACTATACATTGAATTGATAAAGTATCTATTTCTCTATATAAGTACCCTATTTCTATTTCCAAACCCAATAGGCTCCATGACAAATAAACAACTAAATTGTGTACTGAACCCACCTCCCCTAGCGCTCACTCTACACTCTCAAAAAAACATAGTTAAGAAGTTGATTGGTCTAATAAACGCGTGGCTCGCGAGCTGACACACGAGCACTGGGCGTGGTCACTGGTTCATTACCTGAGCTGTGCATGTGTTTAGCCTAGACTGCGGCTTCCTCAGTTATTAGCACGCTATTAAACAGTCTGCACAATGTCGGCCGGTGACTGACTAACTAGCCCACAATTACCATTTCCCACTAAGTACATAATTCCCACACGTTAAGTATTAACGAGTCAAACATTGACTGGTTAATACTACGACTGAAGTGATTTACTGTTGAAATACAAAGTATTCATACATAGATTCATGTAAAAAGTGTACTTTAAACATTTTATTACTTTAGCATGCGTATTCATGTGAAAACGTATGAAAGCATATTAAATATCAATGTGTTATTACCATGGAAATACACGTAACTGTCACTCACTGATACAGCATCGTCGTAAAACTGTCCGTGATAAATGTGTTTAGATTTCTAAACTCATTAAACTCAGAAATTTCTCGTTACACTTTATAAAAAACTCCTTTAATGGTCGGACTATCGTTAAGACCCGGAAGTGGCTGCGATTCTTCAAATGTTTCGAAGAATGTGAGGGAAACTGCCACATTAGTAGCTGGACGACCAATTAACGTTCCTGGTGGAATACCTCGCGGCTGGTAAAAAATACAGCTAATAGCATGTGTCAATCAGCCATCATACACAGAGAGGTACGTCAACCACACATAGTCGAGTGAAGAAAGTTTAATAATCATGTGACTACATAAATAATGTGTCATTCGATTTGTTCTTACTAGTCAGTAGACTGACAACGAATCGCAAAAGTTCATGAAACAAAAACTATATTCAAATAAACATTCAAACTACTGCAAATACTTATAAATCTCAATTTTAGCAGACTCTGGTTACTGAAACATATGTAACTAACAGAAATTGTGACCATATTTTGTCCAAAGAAAATATTTATTAATTTTTATACAAAAGCAGAAGGTTCGCTAAATGGTCGCGAACTAGAAAAGTCCGGACTCATACAACGTACTATATATCCTATGGAGACTTATAGTGTCTATAATAACTGCTCCACGACACTATTGTCCAAACAGGTGGAGTGTCCCAGTACAGTGCAATTATCGGACGCCATTATTAAAAGTATTGTAACGCGGAGTTAATGGCACCGCTCTACTACGCATGTAGGAACTGTTTGCATAGCGCGTGTCTGTCATTACACAGTACTGAAAAAACGTGATTGCAGGAATTATTTCAGCCTCGTGTGATCTAGTAACTGCTTGGTTTCAGTTTGTTTATTGCTTTTTGGTTATGAATTATCTAGAATGGGGAGCCGAACTGAAATGGTTGCATTATTAACTTGTCTAATTGATAGTACATTTCTAGTTTCCAGCAGCGATGTATCCTTTTATTATTACTGCTTTAATTTTATCTTCTTGCAAATAAAGACAATCTCAACTTTCCATAGATTTACGTAAGAAAAGAATATTCGAAGTATGTAAGCAACGAGCTTCATTAGTGTGACTTATTAATTTGCACTATAATTAACAAAGAGAGAGCGCAGTATTCTGTTATAAACTTAAAATGTGCTCGACCGATATTAATGATATACGTTTTATTTAGAAAGGAAGCAAGAATGCGAATTATTATAACAGGAAAATTGAATAACTAAACAGTGTTACGTAGAGGTACTTACCGTGTTACGTTCTATGTATCATAAAAATGATATAGTCAGATGATTTGTACCTGAAACTTAGGAAATGTTTATATTCATACATCTATATAGATAAATAAAATTGGACTGTTTGTAAGGAGTAACATAGGCCACTTTTATTTTGGAATATTATTTAAAACAATAAAAGTTATGTTCTAAAATTCATATTCTACGCGGGCGAAGTTTTGAATGTAACCGATAAAAACTAGCTATTTGCAATACCTAACCCATACCAATAAGTTTCATATGACATATAGAATACCCATAAACCTATACAATGCCATCAGCGAAGTCTCCACCAATTGATAATTTTTCTAACTAAAGAAAAATTTAACACGGCTGTTATAAAGAAACAAGAAGTATTGTAAGCGGCGAGTGAAGAATGAAGCCGGTGTTAACCGGTATTATCCGGTATTGAAGTACTCGATACTCAGGTGTACCTATAAAAGGTTTGACGATAAAATAGGATTCCTGTGAGCGTCAGTCACGTCATGGGGCTGAACAATGGGACGCGGCCTGCTGCTAATAACGTGAAATCTGACGGCGATGTGAAATAGAAAGCCGCGCTATGGCATGCGCATGCGCTGCCGATGGGCAGGCCGCGGTCTCAATGATAGCGATTTAAGAAGAAAACACTGTTATTGCTATCTCAAACTTATGGTTAAAAAATAATGTAACTTTTGCCAAGCATTTTCGTGTCTTGTGCCTGAAAACGTTTCGATGACTTTCCCAAACACATATATTACAGATGATTTTTTAAGCAAGATACCTACATGTCTGAACGTTATTAAATTATTATTGATCACTTAATCTAATCGAAAGTTCTCGAATCGCTACCTGTAGCACTGGTGCCTTACATCATGTCTGTCAGCGACTCCGAGCTGATAATCTTCATAATGACGCGCGTGCGCCGCGGCAGTTTAACATTGATCCAGTTCTGCACGAAACTGGGGCTCCAAGATATTGTACTACACGGAGTATTAATTGTTGTACACATACTGAATCGTTATATAAAGGTCAATTGAATTATTAAAAAATAATATGAAATGAAAGTAGTTGTACTGCTACCCCTACTTAGTATTGAAAAGAACATTTTTAAATGTATATTATTTATTTTTCCAATGCACTAAAAAATAAAATACCAAAATATCTAATTTCGTTGGTAGCATTAGAGGCATTTTCTAAAAACATCAAATGAGAATGATAAAAATAGCAAAGTTAATCTTGTTGACTTGTTTCAAGTTCTAACCTCGTGTTCATCACTCGATATAACGGACCATTTTCTAATTAAAACGTTTATAATTATAAATAATATTTAAATGATGGTTTTTATAGTTGGCCCTTAACTGACGATCATTAAAGTACCATAAAATTGTCGTAACCAGTAACAATCTTGACTGAATGACGTCATAAACTGAAATTTATTGCGCAATTCTTAGAATTTTTGGATCTCAACTTCCTCTCGTTAGCTGTCTCCGCTACTCCCTCTTCCTTTCTCACTCTCAGTTTCATATTAAGAACCCTGACAGAACGATATCTCACCGTTATAGTCGTGTTCACTATAAATAAATAAGCAGAAAATCCATGTTTAATGACAACAAGATTATTGTATGGCATCCAATTGGAATTGTTGCAAACGCATTGTATTAAGGCAATCTAATAAAGTCCATCTAAATCTTGCAACAAAAACTGGAATGCGTTTTCCAACATAACTAGCCAAAACTGTAACTACTACTATACTATACTGTAGATTTGGTCTTCTGTATGTAGCGCGCCTAGCTTCACTGATAGACAGACGGTCCGACAATTCAATTTTTGACGTTTCAAAAGTGCCTAATTAAGTTTGCATTGAAATAAAAAATGAGCAAAGTTTTAGGGCGCACGTGCCCTTGCGCATGGATCGTGATCAGTGGTGGAGTGTGGCCCATACATTATGCATCGGTACCTACTAGTCAACCAGCGGGCCGCACGACACACGATCATAAACGAGGAACTTTAACTGTATATTATGAATGAAATACTTCCTTATTATGGTTTCCTTGTTGCATATGTTTCTTGGTCCTCGGTTCATATATTGACTGACGGTTTGCGCGGTGGCTGGGCAACTGGCTGCCGCACAACGTGTCGCGCGTTTCGATTTTCTCGAACGAAACTACTCTTTGTTAGATCTTCAAAACTCCACACTCCACAGATTTGGTCACGATTTTTTAATAAATAGAGTGATTAAAGAAAATGGTTTATATGTGTAGTAAACAGTTAAGAAAATTAAACTCATGCTTGTAGTTTATTTTACGCGGTTGAAGTTAGTGTAAAATACTTCATATACAAGTATAAGCAGATTCTGATTCTGATTCAAACCAATATATGACTACCTTATTCTGTACTAGCTTTTACTCGTGGCTTCGTCCGCGTATTCTTGTTTTATCCCGTTGGGAACATTTAATCGGAAACAAAGTTCTATCACTTTCAGGTGATAGGAAATCAGGAAATATCAATTTCAGGTATTTCATCAATACCAAAATTTCAACAAAGTCCGTTCAGTAATTTCAGCGTGATTGACGGACAAACATTTGAACGAAAAATCTTTCACATTTATAATAATATTAGTGTGATAATATAGAAATGTCCACAAATCACTTTGTCACCTAATATAAGGAATCCGTAACAGTGCACACAGTCCGTAGGTCAAGGTCAAAGTGAAGCTGATTATGTAATTATTTGTTTCAGCAAACTCTGGAGGCGGGCGGCGGCGGGGTCAGCAACCTCGAGAGCCTGGAGGCCAAGGTCAGTGACCCATCACTAACGTTCACGTAAACCGGAAGTTCTTGTCGACAGAATGTGTAATTAACGTTGTTATTGGTTTACGCAAACTTCATAAAAACTGAAAGTCATGAAAAAATAATTCATTTTTAATGCTATTTGGGAGGCATTTTCTTTATTTATATACATATCGATAAATATAAAACTGCAAAGCAATGATGATAACATATGTAAAGTTATTATTTTATTTAATTATTTATTTATATGAGTACAAATAATGGGAAAAATTCTCATAAGAAGCCATAACATAACACGAGTAGTAGAGAAACTCCAGTCCACGTGACCATGACTTATAAATATAGTAATTACTGGGTCTACTGGACTGTATCGATACTACGGACACTTTCACGTACATCTTAGAAAGCTAAATATACATAAACCAGTCATACACGAGCACTTACATCATGATTACAGCAAATTAGATGAAAATTCGCGCCGACTTTCGTTTAATTTCCGTTTCTAGTACAAAAGACATCAACGCGCAGCTACGGTTGTTGCGAGTTCACTACACAGTTATTAACGAAGTGATTAAGCACGTGTAGGAGGAAGTCATAAATAACATTTGAACCAGATTAAATCTGTTGGAACAATTAAAGACTAGTATGCATGATACCTTACGATTCCTTCTGAACATGCATAAATATTTGTATTTTGGGATACAGATTACATGGGCAATATAAATTAGTGGTAAGAAATTTTAAGACAGAATAGATTAAGTCTGTAACTGTCTGTAAAGTTATGACTTTATTTCACATCTTTGCTTGAATAATAATGATGTCACCTTACAATGGTTATATTAACGCACCCATTATTTTCAGTACTTACAGGGTAGGTTTTAAACAAATGACCCGTTTATTAGATATCAACGTACAAAGTCACGTGCAACAACCAGTTGTATAAAATAGTCTGTCGCTGCGGTGGATGTAACGAACATATTTAATCATTGAATAAATTGAATTTGCAGCTATTTATTTATCGCATCGCATCCTGGAGATAAATGTTAGAATTATTATTAACTACTCTGATTTATCGCACGTCATACTTTCCATGCGGTTTCCATTTCAATGTTATCATCTTGATTCCAGAATATGCGAAGTGATACCTTCACTTGTATATTAGAATTACTGATGTATGTGCGTGAATGTGTTAATTTATCGCGGAATAAATTATGAATATAAACCTACAAGTATTTGGTTGAGCTGAACCATCCAGAGTAACGGCTGGCAATATACACGAGATCATATGTAATGTATACAGCTTTTTGAAGTCGTAAAAAATTGTTGTATAACGTTGAAGCTTATTTCTACCAAGCCCACATTTTTTTACATCTTTATGTTACCCGTTCGTTACGACTATTAAAATTAGAATATTTATATAAATATCTGAAACTAAATACTTCAGTAACATAATCCGACATCAATGGATTACCATTCGCGCCACACTGGAAGTTGTTCGGCGACAATTTGTTGTCGCGACAGCTCGGCGACATCGCGACACTACACGGGATTTATAGCGACACCGCGCCGCGACACTGCGATCCAACACTGCTGAACTGGTTCTACCCGCCGCGCTGCGTCACCTGATTAGTGCGAGCTAATTAAGATTGGCTGATTAACACGCACTTGCTACTGTAGTGAAATGTTCTAGAGATTTGGTGATAGTTACACTAATATTTTATTCACGTTTATTGACATTGTAATTATTGCTACTACTATTATCTATTTTGTATCTCGGAAAAAATTGCTAAATTGTATAGTTGTACCCATTACATTTTGATTAGGTATTCGGAATTTCATCTTCTTAATGTACTACAAACAGCACTTGAATGTGAACAATGAACTACAATAATAATAAGTAGCCAGCCACAAAGAGATAGACACCTTCGTACGAGTATCATGATGGCACGCAGACTCCGCACAGTGCCGCGCCGGTCCCGCAGGCTGCGTTGTAATCGGCGCGTAATAATCGGAACGAAAGTGAAGCTAGCCGAGTGTTGAGTCGATAGCCGCTGGTCATACAGGACCTAACTTATTGAAGCACCATATCTTACATTTAAAATTGCCATAACTTTATATTTGTACTCTGAACTACATTTATTTAACATACATGTAAACTAAACTAACTACTCCAACATACCTATGTATGTAGATACCACTGATTGTAATATGTGCCCAAGGCGCACTTCGTTTAGTATTCATGCAAACTTATGTATTTTACGATGTCTTGACAAATTAAAAAATGTACTCACATATAAATGAGCGGAGCCTGCGATACATATATATTTTACACGACAAATATTTTAAAGGAATGCCTACGCGATTCCCATACACACTGTTATTGACAGCAACAGGCGGTGTCACAACATTATTGGAAAAAATAATTGTAAACCTTTCGACAGTAGAGCGGACAGTTTGACATCGTATCATAGCAGTGCCTGCAGCGGTCGCATTACCGAGGGAGCTCAGCCTCGCATGCATATGGAATTCTATACTCCGCACATGCAATTACTTGCCAATTTATTGTCAGCAATAGTTTCTGCATTTTACCGCCATCTACACTGAGATCTGGGCAGAGAATAAACTGTCTTTGTCCCACATTACTAAGTATCTTACGAGTGACAGAGATGGAGGAGATTTCATCGCGATGTTGGATATTAAAGTGTGCTACAATAAATATGCGGTAATACGAAGATCTGAATGCGGGACTATTTGAAGTTATACATACAGGCTGGACGATGAACCAGTAGCTAGTGGACAACCTGTTTTGTCACCTTCTTATTGAAAGGTTCTTCCATTAGATTAGATTAATGTTTTCAGACAAAAATCTATGTTTAAGTCTGACGCGTACACACGCGGTACGCGTTTATAAAGAAACAAACATAGTTCTTGATATGACAAGCCTGATGATAAATAATAATTAAAAACGAGACTTTGATATGAGGTTTGACAGTGAAGCATTATAATAACTTAACAAACCACAGAGGGGAAAACGTACCACGATACTAACAATGGCACCATGCCGTTCTCATACTAAACGTACAGTTTCCTTCACTTTAATCTCTGTGCATCTGGTCTCAGTGGCATCAGATCGAATCGCTTTCAATTATACAATTTGTTATGCGACGCGCGACTTGCGCGAGCGCAGCCGCTGGCTTTTTGTTCACAATCGATTATACTCGATTCATTATATTCCAGTATCGATTTCGCGCCCGACATTTATTGAATTAGTATCAAGTTAATTTATTTTTATTGTTTGTAGTTTTATCTGGTCACTTAATGCGTAAGTTATGGAGCTACATGCCATGCACTGGGAGTTTGATACATTTACAATTACCATCTAATTACAAGCTATAAATAACGAAACTTTCGACATAAAAATATAATAATAATAATTAGATAAGGTAATATCAAGGCTTATCTCCAAGTACATCGACCTAGATTAAAACAATAGATGTCCAAACCGGCACACATTGCATTACATATAATATTCAATCAACGTTGAGATCTACGTTATCGAAGGCGGTGTATCATGTGGCGGTAATTTGTGAGAAAAAAGGGCCGCATACAGTTGCGGTACCACTGCACAATGGGTGGGAACTCCGTGATAGCTGGCCATAAAATATAACATGTACACTGTACGTGTACTTGACTGTAAATGTGCAAACACACGCAGCTTAGGAAGTCAGTACACTGAACTACAAGGTACTACACAGCAATTATACAACACATAATATGATGAAGAATCGTTGCCCTTGTATTAATGTATCTCTTTGACTTTCTAGTTCGAGTGAGCTTACTAATAATATAACATTAACTCAAAACAGTAACTTCAGCTTTGAATTCTTAAGGGAAGGCCGAGGAATACTTATGTAAGTACATAATAAATGTTACATTCTGAGGTCGGTGGCCTTTAGCGCAGCACATTCGTCTACTGTAAGTCCTCGCAATAAAAGACTAAAGACTAGTGTAGAACAATATAAACATATACCTGTAAAAATTCTTCGCAGCGTCCATGATTTAAACCAAAATGTCTCCATATCCTTAAACTCATGAAAACTCACCTTATACTTTACAGTATTAGACGCTTAACTTAATAATTACTTTTTGGTTACTGCACTGTTTCTAACTTATTTATTTATTTGACATCACTTAACAAATTGTCTTGTACTCCCGTTAAGCCTCCCCTGGAAGAGAGACACTCTCTTCATAGACTAAAGAACGCTCATCATTAATCAGTGTGACACTGTACTGCGAGCGTGGCCATAACCCTACACAGGCTACACTCCTACAGTTCTGCAATCGCACGCTTCATCTGCAGATATTCTCACCGACATGATCTTTACTATGTGTAATAATATAGGCAGTTGCATTCATTGCCACCTGTAGGCTATATGCTATCTCAAAGGAAGAGCCTACAATGTTGGATAGACTCAGATACAGCAATATAATAAACGACAACCTATTTGTTACAAAGCCTTAATGGTGAGAAGTGACATTTACTTACTATTTTTAATTCTTCATTTACATTTAAAAAGATACGTAGATAGAGTGTGGTTAATGCCTATGCATATGTGATTATTGGAGTGAGTGTGAGATGGAAGTTGATTCGTTCGATTAATTTTAAATGATACCACGATGTTATTGAAATTACAAATAATTCTTGTTTCGAGTGAGCCAGGAAGCTGAGTGAAAAAACCATCGGTACACCGCTCCCTCGGTTCACAAAATTAAATATTAATGTCTTCCGATTCCGACACATCACAAAGTAAACAGTTATCAGCTAAAATTAAACCGTCAAGTACTTATTCTTTCCGAACTACACTAAAACTAAACGCCTTGGTGTGGAACGAGGCGTGCGCTCGCGCAGGAAGTCACACAACAAACGACTTCAACGCGCATTAACATTACAATATACACAATTCCACATAAAGTTTAAGGAGGAATACTAGTAGCTTTACATGGCTATTTTCATTAACATGAAACACAACCAGCTATCACAACTTAGCACATTTGACTTTCAATCGTTTCTTTGCGCAATAAAGTTGAATATCATCTCAAAAATTTGGACTGTTTTAGATAACTTGATGTGCTGGATGTATAGGTACTTTGAAGCATTAATGAGCCCGTCCGGCCACTACACATTAAAATGATATCTGCCTTCTATCTCTGGTTAATATTTAACCACAGGGTACAACATGTCATTACTAACGTTCTATGTAATCACATAATATTTAACATAAAAAGTTGTGTGTGTTTATAACAGAATAAATGGCCTGTTACAATCAAATCTACATTACTGCAAAAACAGCCGAAGAAATAAAGTTAATTTTACGAGTGTTATTTACCTCTAAATTAACGTAACTAAAGTGTACTTAAATTATACATTCAACAATATTTAAGTTGGAAATATACTAAAACAAATGTACGAAACCTCTCAATTAGCATGAATGAATGACTTCCAAGTTTCGACTATAAAGTATGTAAGTTAGACATTCAGTTTGAACATAACTTAGCTAATCCTAATTAAGTTCGCTAGGCCAAGTGACGTGAAGCAGGAACATAAAGTGTACAGCGAATGACTGAGCGAGTACTTGTATACCTATATTGTAACTGATGTAGGTAGAGGTACCACCGATATATACATGTGAAAGACATTTGTTTGGCTGCTTGTCACACCATCAAGTTATAGCCTTCAAACTGTCTAGTTTATAGCGTAAGCCTCGGAAGGAAGATTTCTTTAAATTTAAAATCGTTTGTATAACGGTTTTAAATTGTGCTGCAACAGTGACATCAGAAAATGTAGTTTGGCGTCATAATAATATGTGTAATGGTATTTTAAGCGTCTACATAAAGAGTCCAGGCATGAAACAAACAAGACATAATAGAATTTGTTTATATATGTAATGTGTTTCATTGTTCTGTTTGTGTACCCAGATGGCCAGTATCGAGGTGTCGCTAGCGGGGTCGCGGCGGCGCAGCGCAGGCGCACGTGACGTCAGCCGCGAGCTCGATGCGCTGAGGACTGCACTCACAGATAAGGACACCCTCATACAAAGGTGGTTAACCCTACTTTATGTATACATATGCAGTACATAAGCATAAGTACATCAAGACATGCTACAGAAACATATTTTGTATTTTGCATTTTTGAATTATGAATAATTTTATTATTTTTATTATTTATTTATCTGTCCACTGATTTGAAAGCACTAGAATGATTCGCCAAATAGGTATCCCAAAAATTCAGTTGAATTCATACGTTAATTAAAGCATTATTGCGCCTATAGTCTAAAGAAGCAACTCAGTGCATCGCTAAGTGCAGCGCGGCTGGCTTCCCCCACGGCATCCAGAGCCAGTTCTCACGAGGAACACGCCACCGCCCTCTCAGCAGACGAGAGGAGGGCACTGGAGGAACGAGCCAATGCCGTCCGGAGCGAGCTCGACACTCGCAAGGCTAACATACAGGAACTCAGGAGACGACTCGAGAAGACACATGTTACTGAGTAAGTATAGAAAAAATAAATAAGTATTTCTCTCTTCTCTCGACAATCGCAATTGCTGCATTTCAATCAGAAATGAAATTATATTGATACACATACATATTAACAGTACAGTAGAGACAACATTCTTTGAAAAAAAACAATAGATACTTAAAGCAGGAAGGATAAGAATATTTGTGAAACAAAGCTATCTAGTAATTAGGTCGACATTGTGCAATATATAATAAATAACTTCAGTCAGAAACTTCGTGTGTTATCTACTGCTAACCTGATTTTTCTATCCCAGTAACATAGACACGCGAATCCAGCAAGCAGAATTGCAGTACAAGCTGGGCCGCGAGGAGTTGGAGCTGCTGACGCTGAGCGAGCAGGCGCGTGCGCTCGCGCAGCTCATCGAGCAGGCCGACGCAGCTGCCAACCGAAATAACCGAACTACTTTATACAGGTAATCATATTAAGCTAAACAAATAGAACGTAAATTGTATCTTCTTTTTCAACTAATTAATAGCTTTTCGTGGAAACTTAGTGTAACGATTCACTACTTCCTCTTAAAGGCTATATCACTTTATTAAACTTACGAATAATTTTGGTACGTTGAATCTTCTTATGAACTGTTTCTGTTAAATCTTACGATCAAGCACTTAAAAAGTGTTATAACTAATAGAGGAAAGCCAGGGAACCTTTTTGTTTGTTATTTCATTGCAATATCGCGTGCGCACGCGCCCCACATGACATTATATTGTTTCCAGGAACGCAATCTTTTCAAACCACTTTATTGCTATATTTTCTTCAATAATTGGGAAGAGCTAGAGAAAATCGGAAAAGTATATATCAACGACGTTGACGTAGAGGCGGCAAAACTCTGACACTACACCATACTCATCGTAGAGACGTAGGAGCACCTTAGTAAAGCTAATTTATCGGTCAACTTTACCTAAGAAAACTCGTGTTACAATGGATGGGAATTTGCTCGGGTTGTAAACAAATGAGTGAGTCGGCAAGTTTTTGCAAGTCCATTGAATGGTGACAGGTTGGTCGCGACCGTCTCATACCTCACCGGATCGTGTAAATTGTGTCACACGCGACCAAACGAACTAAGTACTCGATGACACGTGAAGGAAAGCACAGAATAGAACTGATGGCCTATTAACTGGTGTAGATGACAAAGAGATTGAGTTCATATTAACAGATATGTTTTAGAAGTAGAAGTACAGTTTAATTCAATTTGTCGTCGAACGGATACGGAACATCAAGTACACCAGGGTTTACTATTATTTAAATACCCACACAGTTTCTTGTAACCATTATACTAGGTAATAACACGCATAGTAAATAGTTGTTGAAACTAAACTGAAAAAAAAAACAACTAAAACCTGTTCAGAGAAACACTAATTCCAAATTAAGTAAATTAATTCAGTAAAGGGTGAAGCAATTGCAGGCAGTAGACACTCACACGCAGATAGGATCTATTTGAATTAACTAGCTAACGCGCCTGCGCACTGACGTTTCCTGTGTTTCCACACTAAACGGAAAAGCAAGCGGATCAGATCTGAGTGTTACGATCATTACGCCATCCATTGTTCGGCGGGGCGTGGCTTGGCAACATACTTTCTATAGCCAGCGTTCAATGTACCGCAATCTGTGGGAATTATCACCGAATATTTGCTCGTCAATAGGGAAAGTTCTGGACGCTCTGATTTAGTTATTTGCATGTAGTAATTAGAGAGGTGCTGGAGCGCGTGCGAACTTGTTGAGTTGTGAGGTGATGGAATTCGCCGGACGATGAGAGGTGGGCCGGCACTCGCTACGCACTTACTTGTACTAGTAACTTTATCTGATTGAGACGGTAAATAAAACAATTCGAGTTATGTACATTAACATACGCACTTACAATCATCCAAACGTGATTTTTGGTTAGTTACTATTACTACTAGAATACAAGATTACAGTACTGGTCCAAATTACTTTGAATAATAAGTGGTATCAGCCAAGACAATCGATATATTTACATAAAATTGAGCCGAATTGTTGTCAACAAAACACTGTCTGTCTGTAGCAACATCTAACAGAGTTCAAAGGCCATAAATCAGATACATACAATGTAATCTGTAAGATAACATCACATTTACATAAAACAATTAACCGACAGGTTGCTCCCACTCAACACCTTCATCTCACAGCTCACACTGAAGTAATCTTGATTGTACAACCAACCGATACCGCACAACTACTGAGAAAATATCACATATAAATAAGTTTATTGAGTAACCTGATTGACATTTTATGCAAAAATAACCTTTATTATTATGGTCATAGGATTGTCTTGTAGTTCTATGATGTAGGAAAGGAACTCAAACAATACTCCATTAGGCAAGAATCACACGTTAAATATTATATTGGTATTGGTTTCTCACGGGGCGCGACGCAGCGTAACATTGCGGTAGCCGAGTTGCGGTCAATGTGTTCGGTTCAATTCCCGGGGAAAGTGTTATTAGGTTACGTTAGGTTAAACATATATTATTCTGGAAGTTATTGGCCACGCTTTAAGACCTTATACGTACCTTAAAGTTCATACCATGTTCTGTTTAATGTTCTTTCAATCTAGACTCCGTACTATTGAAGCGTGGCCAATGTACCCACTAATGAATACGTCAGCACTCGTGATTTTGACTTCTAAGCTAGACTTACGAAGCAGTGAAGTGTTTAACATGAAACCATAAAAATGCACCAACAATATTAATATACAATATCAGTACAGATTTAGCCTCGACCGTTAAGGAGATCATATCAAATGAAGCGTAAATTAATTTCCAAGTTTACCTAATGTACCTTCGTACATAAAGGAAATTTTTACTTATTAATTTTGGTCCATGGTGTGTAATGATCGTCAATTTCGTCTGCTTGTCTGCCATGTTTCTTCTTACTTTGTCTCTTACCTACTTCTTCTATTTATCAAACATGTCAATGAACCTCTAGTCTAAGTCGAAAAACATTGAATCTGCTGATCCTTGCCAGGTTCTATTGTTCCCACGACTGAGATGTGCAGTATGACATCACGTCTTCAAAGGCTGCGGTCAGCCCCGGCGGCTGTGGTCGGGTCCTGCTCTCTGAGACACTGACCTACATACGGCTTCGTTTCAAATTACGTTGATAATAGGCTTCTTGAGTTATGAGCGAATATTATTTGGGTACTTAGGATTCCACTAAAACCATTATCATGTAAAATATTGCCAAAACGAGATCGAATGACTTGCACTATTAATATCTAGTAGAGTTTATAATGTGACCAAGTTATTAACTCTAGTCAACTAACTTCGCAAAGTCTACGCGTAACTTAAAATTCGTAGTTTGGTGTGGTCATGTAGTGTGACATTTTTAGGTTTGTGCAGGAAAACCCAAACCTACACCGCTTAATTCATATTCAATTTTGCAGAAGATGATTTAATGTGTCATTGATAAAAGAAGATCTTATTGGTTTCCATTATTAAAGAAAGAATAAAAAATGTAAATTAAAATTATCTCTCTCTCTTATGTACATTTTGTGCATGAAGCTTAAATAAATAAATAAATAAAAAATAAAATCAGTTGGTGTTAGTAAGAAAATATTATTCAAGAATACATTTCAACGTAACCGTGTACAACTTGTTATGTAAATATCAATAAATATTTATTTACGTACAGTTTACGCATTTCCTCAGCTCCCGAATGACAAATTAAAGTTGATGGAAACCGTCGTTACATTGAATAACTTATGTTTCTTGTACGAGAAACTTGCAGATGTAAGCTGTTAATAAATTATCAAGTAATAAAGTACAGCTCGTCGTATCTCCAGTATTTAGTATGAGACACACGACACTACATAGAACTGCTTCCTTCTGCAGTGCGACCAGTTTTTGTTGATAAAAATTAATTTAATCTAGTGGGCGACTGCGACACGGATCGTAGCAATAAGAGCGCTGCTGTTTTTAGCGATAAAAGGAAATGTGTGATGAATGATAATGAAAAAAAAAAATAGGAAATATGTTGGCCACTGCGTACACATTAATGTTGGACCCATACATTTATATGGCCAAATGACAATCTCTCCGTCGGCATGTTAATAAGATTTACCGACTTGCTTACGAATAACTATTGTGTTTGAAATCCAATACCTACTAGAGAACAGTAACCACACATGTCATGGTCGCGCGTTGTTCACGAAAGAGACCACATCTTGTACGTAAGTCACCGACGAGAATGTATTGGACCGCAAACTAAAATATCTTCTGTAATACTGCGGTACGCTTTCACGCTTTGTATAACATCTCCTTATCTCCGAAACCATTTTAACTTTGCCTCTATTCTATCTTCACAAGTATTATATAAGTATTTAACACATCTACTAAATGCAGATTCAATGAAATAATGTTTTACGCAACTCATTTAAAGTAATAAGTACAAACGCGAAACGTAATGAACATTGGTTGGTATATTTCACTTCGTTCGTGAAGTTTATAGTAATTGTCGGGCAAAACAGACGAAACTTAAATATAGCGTTGCCTCCAGACTTCACTCGACTCTAACAAACACTGGAACCTTCAGAGCTTAATAATATACAATTTGTGATACTTGAAATTATGTAAATTACTCAGGGCTCTGGTTATAGGTGCTTCCTGGAATACGAGTGGAAGTGGAATAAGTGTGGCAGTACACAGAGCGCAGTCAAATTCGATGATGGAGCAAGGACCGGGAGTGGTTCAGAAATATGATAAAGGTGTTCTCTTAGTTATCACAAATTATTCATCTAAATTATTGTTACGCAACGGCACCAACAAGAACCATTATAAATAAAATATACTCACAAAGTAACGAGAGCATTTTGACGAGACATAAACGTCATACAAACCGTGTCGTGTACCGTTTGATGAGCAGAAGAACACACACACACACATACGCATACACATAGAGCCCACAATCTGGTGTAAAAAGTGTGTGCGTTGCTAATTGGTTCACACCTTTGTCAAACGTCAGGAACGTCATGGAGCATAACTTTATTATTTCCGCGAACTACGGGATGGTGTGCGATAGCTGACAGCTGACTGATATAGCGCAGAATATAAAGTTTATCGCACTTTTTGAGCTTGTTTCGGAAAACGAACCGAGTAGTGTCAATGGCAGTACTATCAGTTACGATTTCGAGCGCACCCTTGTACTTAATAAATATCTGAATATTTTTATAATATTACTTGATACCCGATTCATAAATTATGCTCAAAGATAAGTATCATATAACTTGATAATTAAGATTTTATTATACAATTTGACATTAAGGTAACACGAGTGTGAATTTCGCAAAAAAAACTCTGAGAAAAGACAACAATTAGATCCTATGTTTCGTTATCTATTCGTAGATAATAATTACAAAACTTAAAAGCTAAATTAAAGATTCTACTAATTATAACAAAG